GTGTTTAAATCTACAGTACAGTTGTAGATTTYGGGCCCTAATTTTTGTGTGAAGYCACTGCAGACGCATTTGGTGACTATCCACACCTGTTTCCTAGAACCATTGGCAATGCAGATCACACCAAGGCTTACATCCAAATCTACAGGTCCATGAGAAGATCTGCCACATCACAAGCCATCACCAGAGCTCAAGTGAGTGGGGATGATATAGATATTGCCAAATGATCTAAGAAATAGGGTGCTACTAGAGGACAAGATCCTGSTGGTAAAAGACTACAATACCACAACACATAGCAAGACCTTATAAATGATTTCCTTTTGCACTTCCAGCATGTACTACTTTAGTGGCAAAATACAATGTCTATTGCAAACAGGGGGGAATTTCAGTGCTAGATCAAGCCTACTCAAGCCCTCTGGCTTTAGCTTGGTTGCCTTTGCCCTTGGAGACACAAGCTACAGTGTGGTATTCCTCCAAATGACCAGCATAAATTAGTGCTGTGAGTTCACTCCATACTAATGGTCATTTGGAAATATTCTATTCCAGCAAAGAAGTCTTTGAGGTAGTCTTAGGCTATAGATGAGAAGGATGCTCCYGAGACCGGGCAATATCTTCTAACTTAAGCTTATGTCCAGTGGGAATGGACCAGAAGACCCCCCCTTGTAGCAGAGAACCAAGAAACATCCCATTCCTACCTCTGACCCAATTGTACAAAACATAACAAGTACAGCGTGTAAGCAATTAGACAAGTAATAGATTTGTTGATTACTTTGACTCAAGAGGGGCTTGTTGAAGAAGGAATGACCAACATGAGGCCAGAATCCTCCAATTGGCACCAAGACTTTGATGGATCCAAGAAATTGATGGATAGCTCACAAAACTATTTGGTGGCAAGACTGGTGGGAATAAAATTTGAAACATTGCCCCACTGTACCAGCAGTACATGCTGAGGTGCAAAGTGACCATTGTGGGACTGGAAYGTGTTGAGTCAAACAAGTCATTACACAGGACTACTATAAAGATGCCCCATTATCTATGCACCATGCTGCGTAGCTATAACTGTTTGAATCATGAACTGCYASTTAGACCTCTGACTTTGTTGCTAACCAGCCTGTAACAGAGATAAGCACATGATACAAAAGCATCTTTAAACAGGATTCTAGTTGTATGGGGGAGTAGGGGATCATTGCAGTGGAATATATTKATATTCTTGTACAAATATAKAACTCCCCAACTTTCAATTTGCAGATATGCTCAATCTGCCTTCCACCATCTCTTCCACTCAGGGCTTGATCAGGCACTCCTCAACTGTTGTGGTATAGACCACAAGGTCTTCAGAGATCTACTTGAGGTCTTTGCTCCAGTTTACAACAAGTACACCATCAATAACAACAATGAGACTGTAGAAGATCATTTTTTTCCCAGTGGAAAGCCCAAGGAAAAGAGAAGGGAGGTCAATGCMGTCTGGTGTGCTGTTTGRCTAGTAGTGGTCTATTTGATCAGGACAAGAGGATTAGTTGCCACCAGATCAAGTAGTATGCTGTAATGAAGATAAATTTATRGTGCACTACATGTGCTTGTTGCCAAAGCGGTGCATGTGCATGTCAAAGCAAACAGGGGATGAGATCATGTGGTGTATGCCAAAGCCAACCCTGGTTTGTGGGATTGCTAAATAGGGAAATGGCAGTTTCTAATCATGCCTTGGTAGTATACACAAAAATCTATGCTACATGAAAAACAAACCAGTAGGAACCAGTACTGGCACCTTACRTAGCAGTACAATGTAATGGGTCTAAAGGAGGATAGTATCCTACTGCTCAGCTTTTCTCTCATTAATTTGAATTAGTGTACTATTGTTGTATCATAATGAAAGTTGTAACTAAATTACTTTAGTTTAATCRGCTCCAGTCTTGCGTTCACCATGGGATTCCTCCCCATTGCAAGGTCTTTTGTTACAACTAGTACTACTGGTAAGCGGYGGTGGACGAGAATTAAAAGAAAATGTGTTGTTATTGCTCTGTTGCTGCCACCAACTGAACATARTCATGGCCATTTCAACAAGAGCATCCTTCCACAGCTGATTAGTCTCTTCAGTGATCTGCCTAGCCTCTATAGCCATCTGACTAGTCTCTTTGTCTCTCTCTTGCTGGCTCTTCAGATACTCATCACTAAAGGCAGAACTATCAGGAACACTGTTGGAGTTCTTTGTGCCACCTTGATGTGCTCCTCTAGCAACAGCAGTGGATACTCCTCCTCCTCCTCCTCCTCCTGTGACAGTCAGCTCTGAGCCCTCCTTGGGCTCACTCTTAACAAAGCCTTCCTCCAGATCAGAGTCCTCCACTCCAGTACCAATATTTGCCTTCTTGCCAATCAAGATAAGGGSCTTTTTTCATCTYCACATACTCTGGCATATTTGAAGTCATCTTTCTCTTCATGGAGGTGTACTTAGTCCTACTGAAGGACTTGTGTCTGAAGATGGGTCATCTTGCTGGATGCAATCTCACAATTTCATTCCAAGCATCTCCATCAATTGGGAGTTCCTCCAGTATCAATCCTATAACAAGGCTATTTRACTTGTCAACAGAATAGTTTGCAGTACCAGCCTTCTGGCTACCACCATTRTTGCCACCAGCACCAGAGTGATTCATCTTCAGATATTGTTGAGAGTTGGCATTCAAAAAAAGCATGATTGTATCGTGGACTTTTTAATGCTATATTTGTACACATATTGATAAGTTCCACTGCTAGGACCCCCCAACTCCCCYATATGACTAGAATCCTGTTTCAGTTTGCTTTGTTCAATTCATGTGCCTAATTCATGTGCCTATCATACTTAAGTGTATGTTGGGGACCAAAATATAGCTGTTTGAGTGAGTTGACTCTTACTTAATGCTTCACATATATTTTGTACTGTGAATGGATTTTTAGCCATCTTTTTACCWWGAGTTGCTGCTTACCTCCTCCTCTGGCTGTTCTCTTTGGTGCAATAAAGAGAGGAAGTAGATTGTAGTGACTAAGAGCATAGACAAGGACATTATTTATGTGGTGCAATARTTGTAGATGYGCCTAGGTGCCATTTTAAAAAGAGGTGTTTGACCAAGGCACCTCTCTTTGTTGTTGTTTAGGATAACTGAGTCTTAATGTTGTTGAACTGAGGCTTAACTTTGATGGGCCTGTCTGTTGAGTCTTTCAGCAGACTCAAWTTTTATTTGTGGGTTCCACAATAGATTGAGATTCTAAATCTATAACCATATGTWATRAATTTTGGTCTATCAGTCCATCAAATTTASCAATTCTATAATAATGGGAGTGATTCAATAAGATAAAACAGTTAAATTATAAATTGAATGGGTTCTCCTTTTGTGGGGACACTACAGAATATTTATTTGGGGGACCATTGAATAATAATTAAAAAATCATCATGTTATATTTAACCTTATGAACTAGAAGAGGGACTATTTGGCCAGAACCATAGCTTTGGGTGGAAATTATGCCTCTAGTTGCCCTGAGGGGTGGCACTACCCTCAGATGAGTTGTTGTGGAAGCACGACCAGAATGTTGGGTGGGCTGAGGGATTATGTTAGATATTTGCTCAAAGTAGTTTGAATGGTACAGTTGGTGAAGGCAGAGACCAAAGAACTCTTTGGTGATGCGGAGGATTTGTGTTGTTTCTTCTTGGAGTAYGGGTSAAAGACCAGCCCATCTTGTGTGACACTCTCTGGTGGTTGTTTACTATTAGGCAAATGTGGAAAATACTGAGCAATAGGGCGTGTGTTGGAGACAGAGGTGGCACTTGCCAGAATGGTTTTCTCTTATACTTGGTGRTAATATGTGAGCAGGGAAGTAGGTGCAGTAGATAAGAAGGTTTCCATGATATCTTCTGGGAATAAGTTGGCATGTGATGGACAAGTCTGTGGTTTCAGTTCAAACAGAGTGTGGACTGTCAAATAATAAAGTAATTACCTGRGTCAAAGGGAGTAATTGACTTGAGTTATTWAGCTAATTTCTTATTGTGTCCACCTGAGTAATCTACTCAGTTAATTGAGTTAATCATCCCATGTCACTTGTACTACTATTAGTACCTATTCAACCATACTAAAATAAATTTCTTGAGTTAATTTCTTGAGTCATTGCTTGGGTCATTTCCTTCTTCATTCTTATAAATGTGCTAAATGTGCTAGACTAGCACATTTCACACATTTAGCACATTTATAAGAATGAATCCACAACACCAGACTGCAAGGAATGCTGGCTCTATGTCAGTCTTTTTTAGAATTTGGAATCTTAAATTGTTCAACTTCACGACTAAAAAKAGGTCTGCCTTAGATTCAGTCAGGCATTCTGTTGAATCTGACGATCCTTCTGTTGAATCTTACAAAATTTTGATTTGTGAGTTCTGTTATAGATTTAGAACATTTTGAATAGGGGTTGTCAGTCCATTCCAAATATGCTAAATCTATAACCACATGTAATAAATTTTTGGTCTATAATCTATAAAATTTGGAATTTCTATAATGRCAGGAATCAACCAATAAGTCAATTAGCCCTGATATACAACAGAAGCTAATAATTTGAGCAATTAAGTTAATTCATTTTGTAACAGCCTTGCCCCCAAAGAGCACAAAACTGTACCCCCAAAAACATGAAATTCTTACATGTGTTAAATTTAACGGTATGTCCAGGAAGCGTTTCTGGTGTCATAATGACTTGGGCATTGGTATATAAAAACGYGTGGTCAGGGGCTCTCCTRTGTACAGTGTACTGTGTGAGTTTCAGTTTCTGGAGGACTCTCATGTCAACAACAGATGTTTCTTTGCTCTTACTCTTCCTTGTTCTTCTTGCTATTGTTCTTGTTCCTCTTGGGGTTTGGGTATTTTGTCTACGGAGGAGCCAGAAACATGATAAGGATCATGCAAGCACTACTACTAGTACCACCACCACTACCAACACTCCGGTGTGACCTTAATCACATTGTGACGCAACACTACTACTATTACTACTACTAGCTTCTTTAAGACTTATTCTTAGTCTGTTGACCCCCAGTAAGAGCATTACCACCTTTTGATACGGGCGTGGTTCGTGCCAGTYGTACAATTCCTTGTAATATGACGAAGGGATGATGTTGGAAATGCAAACTCGAATTGAAGAGATAACTGCGACATCAGCGAAAACTGTTYTTCTTTGCTTGACTAGTCAGTWAWAAAAGAAAAAGAAAAACCCCCTTCAGCTGGACAAGATTTTGATCCCTCCTCTTTTTTAAAACGCTTGTTGTAAGTTTCATTTCGGCTCCTGACTACTTCCTCTCTCGATGTTTTGTTGGWTTGGATCCCATTCAAGTTGGCTTTTGGAGATCTACCATGGSAAAGGTCCTCGTCAAGGTACAAGAAGAATGCGAGTATGTATCGCACCCCGCGGGTCACTGGAGTTCCTCCATGGAGACATCGATTGCCCAAAAAGCTGACCAATCCACCCGTTGGCGGGACAACGGATTGCCCGAGAGAGTACATGTACGACCCGCCCCCATCAAAATCATCGTTTAGCGCCACAACGCAACTGTGCGATGATTCATCAAGGTGAAGGGGCAAAWAGCAATTCGAGCCCGTGGCTTCGTATCTAACCAAAAACGCATCGTGAACGTAAAAMCGTCGTCTATCATCACTGCCACTCGTGCTTCCATACTGATCTCGCAAGAGCGGGAAGAGAACCTCTTGCATCCATGATTGGAACCATTCCAATAATCGAGGCACCTGGTGAATAGGAAGATCGGTCGTGGGGACCGAATAATGACGGCTGGTCGTCCATCCTCCGTTGTTTGAGGCATRATCGAGTGCCCACCRAATAAGCTTTCGACAGGTCGAAGGATCAATAGCATCTGATGCAACAAAGACAGACTGTGTTGCGGCACTGATAGCACTTTGGCGGCTTGAATGGGATTCAGAGCGATCAATTCTTCTGTAGGACAATTTTGAGACCGGGCACTTGCGTTCGGGAAGAAAGTAGTGGTATGCCTCCTGTTTCGACAACTGGTTTGATAATTCTTCGTGTGCACGTTTGTAGTGACTTCCATTTTTCCAGTGCTGTTGTGCACGAGCAAACTTTTGCTGAGATAGCAAGACCGCTCCCATAATATGCCACAAGTCGGCCTCTGTATTTGCTAGCCACTGYGAAAACTCGTCTTTGGGTTCCGTCTCTGTGTGGTTTGCGACCGACTTTTTGCAATAACAATAACATTTTTCATACAACGCCATTGCTTTTTCGAATGCTTCTTGTTGAAAATATGAGTGCGCCAATCGTTGAGCTTGATATAAGTTTTCTRAGTTGATTTCAATCGGTTTGTCATTTTCAAGAGAACATACCATGCTCTTTTTTTCGTGTGCGCACCGAAAACAGTTACAGTTCTTTGCTTTTGGCATTGACGAAAGATACATTCCCTCTGTTTCTGATTCAGCTTTGGTCAAGTCGTATAATGCAATCCATCTGCAACAAATGTTCTGGTTCTCATGGCCTTGCGATGTTCCTAGTTGCATTATCTGCTCCTCCATGGTATATGACGCATTTATTTCTAAGCATGTGTTCGGCAGGCAGGACTGATAACGTCTTGGAAGCTGCAAAACAGAGGAGATCTGATCGCGGGTGCTGTTTTTTTCAATCGATGGGTCATTTGCTTCGTCACCGTTCGTGATCTTCAGTGGATCTTCAATCAAAACTCCGACGAATCGTTCCGGAATATTGGCCACTCGGTCCAACCAAAGCTTGGAAGTGTGTAGTCGATTTGATTGCAACGGTATTATATCCTTAGAGATTCTTTTCGTTTGCGCATCTATGTTTTGGTGGACGCTCCAGCTCGCCTCCAGCTCCTCGGTGGTCAATTCAAATATCGTCTTCTGTGCCCATGCCGTCAAGGGGTGGGGAATGGTCAAAATATGCAGTCTATTTTGGATTCTGAGATAGAGTCGTTCGCATGCTTTCCAAGGAATATAGTCTTGAATCAATGGCCATAACTCCACAAGCAAAGCATGGTTCTCGTCTTCGTCCTCGTCCTCGTCGTCTCCAGGGTATATTTCCCTCTCCCGTACGTCGTCATAGTGGTCTGAGACGAGAACAGACCACCAGGGCAATGCTTGACCACGGTTCCTATCATGTTCGGTTGGGTTTGAATTGACCATCTTCTGCTGTTCGTTTCCTTCTGGTGAGCCAGTGTTGTTTTCTTTTTGGTCATGGAGATTCTTTGCTACCACGCGCAGTGTGACTAGGATGCACAACATGCGCCAGGATCCGGTGGTGCCGTCGGAAGACGACGAGGATATCTTTCGCCTCGCCCTTTTTAGAAATTTCATGATTTCAGGTGTTTCTAGAAGATCAATGGATCGACATTGGTCCCATATTGGGCAACCCTCCCACTTTGGTAGCTCTTCTAGGTTTGGAACGACGGTAGGGTCGGTTGTGTCGTCGCTTCGAGACCTCCTGGACGTTCTAGCATCCTTGTACAYGGGCACCACCAAATACGGTTCCACCTCGGTCAACACGCTTCCCTTAGGAATCTTGGTCATTTTTTAGTGCAAAATTCGTGCTGGCGTGGGACGACGCCTTCCGTCGGCATCCATGGTCA